ATGGAATAAAATCACCTTCGTCCCCGGCTCTCCATCCCAGGTTTTCTGTCAGCAGGAACCTCCTCACCTCCAAGCCCTTGTGGTGCCAGGGGCTGTGGGCTGGGAGGGCTCCTCAGGATGCCTGGCTAGAGCTGGACTGGGCTCCTTGGAATTCCGACTTGTCCACCTGGATTTGTCCCCTCAGCCAGAGCTCCAGGCACAACCCAAACCTGGCTCCCAGCCCCTCAGGAACCTCCACATTCCAGAGCCAGATCTTGATTTCCTTTCTGATTCCTTCAAGGAAAAAACTCCTGAGGTTCTGCCCGCAGCCAGGAGGGCTGGGAACACCCACGGGCTGGGGTGTCCCTGTCCCCTCCCACCCGGAGCAGATCCCTCCCAGTCAGGATTGCTGGAGTTGGGGGTGCTGCTCCCACCTTCCTCAAAATCCATGGATGGATGCGTGGAATTAAATCAGGATTCTCGCTCTGCCTGGAGAGCTCCCCCAGGGGCTGGAGGTGCCTCCTCTCCCCGTCCCCACCTTATCCCAGCCCATGACCCCATTTCACTGCCCCCACTCGGGAAGGAGCCTCCAGCCCTGGTTTGAGCTGGAGGACACCACCCATGGCTCCAGCGGGATGCGTCGCCATGGAGGAGGCGTTGCCATGGCGACCGTTGCCGTGGCGATGGCGACCGGCGCAGCAGGGCCTGAGAGCATCCCAGGGAGGTTCCCCGGCCTCTCCCGGTGCTTGAGGATGGATTAATTTGATTGCCCAGGTTTCCCTCCTCCCCAAGGCGACACACTCAGCACTGAGAGCTTTTACCACGGCAGCGCCTTTTGGGTTTTATTTTGGGGCAGATTTAGGGAGTTTTACATTCCATGGAGTGGAAATGCCCCAAATAATAAAACACCCTGCCTGGGGAATTTAGGAAGCTCCAGACCAGGCAGTCCCTGTCCCCCAGGATATGTTCAGAGATGAAGAAGGGTCTGTAGGAACATCTTGTGCCTCACACGAAGGTGACAGGAGGGTCCCTTCTGTGCCTTGGTTTCCACATCTTTTCAAACCCCAAATCCTCTGTCTCTGCAAAAGCCCTTCCATGGAGTGGAAATGCCTTAAATAATAAAATGCTCTGATCCTCCCTGCCTGGGGAAGGAGGGGTGTACAGGGAATGTAGGAAGCTCCAAACCAGGCGCTCCCTGTCCTCCAGGACATGTCAGAGATGCAGAGGGTTCTGCAGAACCATCTTTGTACCATGAAGGTGACAGGAGGGTCCTTTCTGTGCTCTGCAGTTTTTAAGCCCCCAAATCCCCTGGAGATCTGCTCCTGGGGGGGCTGGGTGAGACCCTGTACCCCAGATTTATGTTTTTCACCTGTAAAATGGTGCCACCCACGCTGACAAGGGGAGAGGAGGGAGGGGGTGACACTGGCCATGCTGGGCGGGTGACACGGCCCATGGAGAGGGACTGAGGCCTCCCTGATCCCCCTGTCAGGCCAAGGGGTCCCAGCCCTCCCTGGCTTTGCAGTGTGGGGTTTGGGTGGGATTTGTGCTGCTGGGGCCCCTTGGCTGCCGTTCCCTGCCAGCCCAGCCAAGCTGGAGGCAGGGAGTGTCCGGCTGGGAATCATCACCTGCCAATCCCCCTTTTCAGGTGGTAAAGGATCCTTTGGGATGGGGTGGGATGTGTTTGTTATCCCAGCTCGGTGTAGGGGCCATGTCAGTGCTGAGCTCCAAACCCTTTGTGTCTGGCACTTACTGGGGGTCATCTAGAGCGCAGTGAGGGAGCGTTCAGTGGAACGTGACTTTCTGGCCCTGCCCTGGAGTCTGCTCTTCATCAGGGCTTGTTTTTATAGCAGCAGAGCCGTGACCTTTGGGCACCCTGGGGGAGTGGGAACGGGGCCGTTGTTTGGGGTCTGGGTGATGCCAGGGCTGGATCCTGACCTGGGCTGCTCCCAGTGATGGCTCATGGGACACAGGGCAGTGACAGGAGCAGTTCCCAGGCTGCAGGACAGTCCTGGGCACAGCCAGCACCTCCCTGGGCACACTGAAACCTTCCCACTCCTTATCCAGAAGTGAGGCGGCCCCAGCCCAGCCTCATCCCGCTGCCCCCGCCGTGCTCTGGTTTTAATTTCCCTAATGAAGCAGCGCTGGGCTGGGTGAGGAACCCCTGCCAAGAGCCATCAGCTGGGCGCTTGGAATTGCAGGGATGGGAACTGCTGGCCCTTGGCTGGAGCTGGCTAATAAATGGCACCCTGGTGCCACCAGGGCGGGGGTGACAGAACAGAGTGGGGACCAGCAGCACACTGGGATTTCCTCCCTGCCCCGAGGAATTCTCTGCCTGGCCCAGATTTGGATGGAGCACCTGGAGAGGGCTGCTCGGAGCACCTGGAATGCTGCGAGCCTGTCCCTCATCCCACCACGGGAGGGGACAGATCCAGATGGGGACGTGGCTGGTGTGACACCCCAGCCCTCAGCAGGCATGGAATCCATGCCTTGGAGAAGATTTTCTCACTGGAGCAGCAACCCCATCGCTCCTGCAGCGGGGTGGGGACAGTCCCTGCCCCAGCCAGGGGCACTGGGGGCTGCAGGGATGGCTCCAGCACATCCAAGGGTCCCTCCAGCCATCGTTTGACCACACAGAGCTGCTGGGGCAGGGATAAAGTTGGGATGAAGATTCTCTTTTGGGACAAATCCAGGCAGCTGTGGCTTGGCTTGGGGTCTGTGATGGATTGGGAATAGGGGCTGGGATGGATTGGGAATGGGGGGCTGGGATGGATTTGGAACTCGGGCTGGGATGGATTGGGAATGGGGGCTGTGATGGATGGGGAGGCAGCCCCAGGTCGGGAGGTGGGAGCAGCTGTCCTGAGTGATTTGTGGTTTCTCGAGCTGGCAAACTCTGCCTTCCCCTCCGTCCCAGCCAGGGGAGCAGCCCCTCATTCCCAGGGGAGCAGTCCCTCATTCCCGAGGGAGCAGCCCCTCATTCCTGGGGAGGGAGGGCCATGCAAGGCCAGGGGCACACGGAGCATTAACGATCCAAGCAGCACTAAATCCAAATAAACCCCGACTGCTCCCGGGATTTATGGCACGAGCCTGACCTCAAACCATCGGGGCTGCAGTTGGGAGGGGGTTACATCAGTGCCTTGGGAATGGAGTGATGAGGGGGCTTCTTTGGGAACAGCCACGTCCCAAATTCGCCCCTGTGCACCAGGAACTCCTGGAGATTGTTCCCAAGTCTTTGTGGAGCTTGGCTGGGGCTGTGCTGCAGGTGGGGCCCCCCAGGTCTGGTCCTGCCTGTGGGGTTGCTGTGGGGTTTGTGTTGGTCCCAGCTGTGGGGTTGTTCAGGTTTAGGGTTAGGTGGATGGATGGATGGATGGATGGATGGATGGATGGATGGATGGATGGATGGATGAGGAAGGAAGGATTCCAGGAAGGAAGGAAGGATTCTAGGAAGGAAGGAAGGATTCCAGGAAGGATTCCAGGAAGGAAGGATTCCAGGAAGGATTCCAGGAAGGAAGGAAGGAAGGAA